GCCGCCCGCGGGGGAGGGGCCAGGGCCGGGCCAGCCGCCGCCTCAGCCCCAGCATCACGTCGTGTACTTCCCGGGGGACGTGCAGGTACCGGCCCGCGCGCATCCCTGCCTGGCCCGGGGGGACTGGGCTGGGCGTGTCCAGGTAGAAGGAGACAGTGAAGGTGCCGGGGGGGCTGTGTGTGGGGAAGCAGGGCCGTCGGCGTATTCCTGCCTGGGTGTGTCAAACTCGAGCCGGTCCAAAGCAAAAGTCCTCCTATCCCGCGCAGAAAGGGCAAACATATAATACTGCCCTCTGTCCTGTACCGAATCGCAGAGAATGAGGGCTGGGCAGGAGCGTCCCTAACTAGCTCATCCCAGCCAAGGCTTTGTCTACCCATGTCTTAAAAACTGCTTGGGGTGCTCATGATAGTTTTATTTGGGTTCTAAAATGTTCCTGTACACATCTACACAAATTTCTTTGGGTAGCCTGTTCTAGTGCTTTAGTACCCTCCTTGTGAGAGTTTTTCCTTGTATCCAACCTAAACTTCCCTTGCTGCAACTTGAGACCATTGCTCCTTGTTCTGTCTGCCACCATTGAAAACAGTCTAGCTCCATTCTCTTTCGAACTCCTCATCAGGTAGTTGAAGACTGCTATTAAATCCCCTCCTCAGTCATTTCTTCTCCAGACTAAATAAACCCAGTTCCCTCAGCATCTCCTCAGAAGTCAAGTGCCCCAGCCCCTGAACCATTTTCCTTGCTTTTTGCTGGACCCTCCAATTTGTCTACAGCTTTTCTGTAGTGGGGGGCCCAAAACTGGACAGTGCTCCAGATGTGACCTCAGCAGTGCTGAATAGAGGGGAAGAGTCGCTTCTCTTGATCTGCTGATGTAACAACCATGGTCATAGTTTCATTAGATTGGAAGCATTATGTATGTTCATGATGTATGAAATGCCAGACTTGAACTAAAAAATCATGTTAATTGCATGTATATTATAAAAAGCTAATCCAACACAGGTTGCCAGTGCTGGGGGTGGGGGGTTAATTATTTTTATTGTTTTTTCAGAACCCACTTCTAAGGCTAAAACTGTGGAACTTAATAAGCTACTGGTAACGTTGACTTTTGTTGACTTTTATTGTACGTGGGGCATTTCACAAAAGACACTATTTCACTATTGTCTGTCCTTAAACCTTTAATACTGTTTCATTATCAAGCTAATTCTCTTTTTAATATAACAGTCATTAAAGTCAGTCTGACTCATTTAGTTTTAAATAGCTCATCCTACTTAAGTCTACCTGAATAATGGGTCAGAAGATAAATCCCAAGAACTCTTTGATATTCCACTGTCCCGTTTCTGTTAATGGAATTCCTATTAGCATTTGCATTAAGAGCAATGCAGACAAAATACTTGACAAGTACAGGTCTTATTTCACCCCATGTTGGGCCAGATCGGGGTGCCACATGCCTCCAAGGTAGAACAGTCCTAAAGACTTATTTTTCCCTCTGTCAGCTGGCTGTAGCCTCTTCTCCTGTGTAATCGAGTGAGAGGGCAGAAGGCACAGCAGAGTGGCATCTTATAAAGTAGCTGATTCAGAGAGGTCTAAACTTTTGTAAGCAGCAGCTTATTTTGCCCGATGCTTATGAAAGCTTATGTCTTTCTGAATTTGGTTTATGAGGAGCCACTCTGCCCTGCCTTCTGCCTGACTTCAGACTAACACGCTACCTCTGTGGGAGACGGGCTTAATGAAACCCTTGATCATTAGTACCCCTAAAGTCTGTCACAATGGTAGTAATGTATTTATCATCTTCTTTCTTTCAGAACTATCATGATGTTATGTCCAGTCATCCAGAAAATTTTCAGTGGGAGCAATGGAGTTTTGAAAATGTTGCTACCATGCTTGCTCACCGATTCCCTAATAGTTTTATTTGGGTTGTGAAATGCTCCCGTATGCATCTGCACAAATTCAGCTGCTATGACAATTTTGTGGCAAGCAACATGTTTGGAGCACCAGAACACAGCACTGACTATGGAGCCTTCAAACACCTTCATGCATTACTAGTTAATGCATTCAAAGTCTCTCAGAACATTCTGCTGTCCCAGAAGACCATGTATGGTGTCCACAAAGATGCAAAGATAACTGCTTGTAAATCTCAGTCTGCTCCTACTTCAAATGGCTGCCCAGCAGGAGAGAAAGAGAGAAACGGTGACATTTCTGATAACTGCACTTTGAGTTTTGGTACACCATCTATTACAGGTGCAGCATCTTTCACTTTGATTGGCTTCAGCAAAGGCTGTGTGGTTTTGAACCAGTTGCTTTACGAGCTAAAGGAAGCTAAAAAGGACAAGAACACAGATGCCTTCGTAAAAAATATAAAAGCAATTTATTGGCTGGACGGTGGTCACTCTGGAGGAAGCAGTACTTGGGTTACTCACCCAGCAGTCTTGAAAGAATTTGCACAGACGGGGATAGCAGTTCATGCTCATGTTACACCTTACCAAGTGTTTGATACAATGAGATCATGGATTGGGAGAGAGCATGAGAAATTTGTAGAGACCCTTGAAGAATTTGGTGTACAAGTCAATGATCAGCTTCATTTTGCAGATGAAATCCCTTCCTTAGATAACCACTTCAGAGTTCATGAAGTATTTTGAGACTCCATGCACCTGTGTGTTTGAATTCCTTGCAGAAGCACTTTTAACATTGTGAATCTTGTAACTTTAATTTACAATTTGTTTTGAGTTGCATTTCCGGAGAATACTAGATCCGTTATGTTTTACTAATATTTACTGGGTATAAATTCCAGTGCTAAAAAAAAAAAAAAAAAAAAAAAAAGTCTTGGTCTTTGTATTAGTGTTGATATGCCTTGGACAAGAGAGATCATATGAGTCCTGAAAGAAGAAACGTAACTGGTCCATATAAAGACCTGTTTTTAACATGTCATATAGAGATTTTGTGTGAATGTTTGCCTTTAACCTGTAACTTGCTTCTCTTGGCAAAGTTTTCAACTCTGCATGATTAAAATTAGGCTCCTTAAGTTAATATATTAGCTTTTAAAGGAGTTGAAGGTGCTTGGCACTTTTGAATATAAGTCCACTCTTACTTAGGTGATTAGCTTTAATGTCCCAGGACTTGGCTTCTCTCAGTAGCAGACAGCAGTGTTTTAATTCTTTGGGAAAGGGGAAAATAATACTTGGAGCACTCTTGATTATACAGTACTGAAATGTATCATATGCAGATATTTGATATCCTGCAACTGTGACATTTCCCTAAATGAAGCAGAGGTACAGATGATCTTTGTTCTTGGAATAAAGGTACCAATCCATTCTTCCTTGTCACAGAAAATGCAGGATGTTTATGAAGTTCTACTAACTCCATTGATGAGTATCTGCCAGCAAATAGCCCTTTTCTTTGGAGAGTCTCAATATTGATAATAGAATATAAAAACATCTACATTTTTATAAAGAAGTGACCAATGATGTTTGTTAGTACTATAGTGTTTATTTCAACATTCCCTATTGATATTGAGGCTTGATTAATGTTTAAAACTGGTGTTTTTGGACTACAGTAACAATTTGTGGAGGTGTCTTTAATCCATTTTGATCTGAAACTGTCTTGAGGCCCTCTTCTGCAAATGGTAGCAAATTACTATTAATTAAATCAAGCCATTACTGTATACTGTTATATACTGCAAGTTATACAGTGAATTTTAATAGATGATCTTTAAGAATTATTGTGCAATTACAAGTTATAGAATTATGGTTATTTGTAATATGCTGCAAAAATATTTTCAGAATCATAACTTTCTATGCAAACCCTTCTTCTGACCAAAATACAAAGTAGATGAATTAAAAATGTACAGAGGCTGTCTTCTGGTTTAGAACAAAATCTGAATGTACTTAAAAGACTACAATATGGCAGTAGTACTGGGGGGGTGGGGGCAGAGGGAGGGAGGGTTAAAAGGTGTTGCCTTAACTTTGTATATGTTTCCAGGTCAAACATTGGCAATCATAACTTTAAAGAAAACTTCAGCTCTTAGTGGTGAACTACAGTTTCTCAAAAAAGTGTTTTGAATTACCTGGAAGTTCATAAAACATTTAAGATCCATTTTCAGAGCCAACTGTTTTGTAACTATCAAATATGTGGTTTTGCTCTGGAAAGTGGCTGTAGAAAAAGGGTACCTGATAATTCTTCATATGGAAAGAAGGAGTTGAATTCTTTTTCTCCTTGTGATTCATTACTAAATTTCTGTTCACTACATCTGTACAAGACCACTGGGGGAAATGAGGTTGTATAGAATGAGTGAACGTCTATTGCTAAAAGTGACGTGTAAGGGTTAAACGAATCCCACCAAACTCTTTGGAAGTCCTTTCATCAGCTGAGCACATTTGACACGCTATGATTGGAAAGACATAGCAAACTAAATTCCAGCTTTTCAGTGTCATTTTTTCCAAAAAATAAAACCACCCATTAAGATTAAACTAATCAAGAATGTTTTAACTATTGTTTTGTGAGTGACTAAAGTAACCTAAATTTAGCTTATAGTTCAGTAACCATATGTTAAAAGTGGCTTAAAAATGGAGAAAAGTCATCTTACAACATGCAAATGAATTTGGAATCATCCTTTTCATAAGAGTAAGAAATCCAGTTTTGTTAGTTTTTCTTAAAGCTCACTTGGAGGCTTTTCCCAGAGCACTTCCAGGGTTACGTTTTTAATACATGTTTAACTGCCCTTCTATATAGGACTTTTACTTATACAGGAAATGGATATCACGGTTTTCCTCCTTGAAACCCATATATCAAAGAAAACAAAGCCTCCTACATAGTTTAATTACATCTGTTGATCCATCCCAGATATCAAATCATTCCCTTATAAAAGATATTTTTTATATTCTATCCTGGCTTAATTTCAATAAAGAAGTCTCTTTTTCCAAGTTATAATCTTGGTATACTCAAGAAAAAGGGTTTGTCAAGCTTTAATAGACCTGATAGTTATAGTTTAATTTAAAAACAATTGAAAGATTTAATTTTCAAACTTCAAGAAGGTATCACAAATGTGAGGAGAACAGTTAAAATGCAGCTTGACAAGTGTTCTCAAGGCTTCTGGGTAGCTGTCCTATGAATAATCAGCACAATAGGAGTGGCTTACAGTAGCCACTACATAAGAACAGCTTGTAGTTTTGCTATGTTCTATTTAAGGATAAGCACTTTTCTTAAAAATTGAACAAGTACATTCTAAGATGTATGTTTGTTGTTATTTCAAAGTGAAAATCAATGGATGGTTGTCTTTTCATTTTCTGTAACCAGTTGTGCTCTATTGGACTGTCTGTCATTCATTATAATGCATGCTGAATATGATATGTGCAGATGATGCAGAAAGCTGTGAAATTATTTCTAATGGTTGAAAGCACCGCACTGTGAATTTAATACTGTATTAAACAAGGCATCTGCAGTTAACTTGTGTAGACTTTATTGAGCATTTGTGGAGACCTGGTGAAGTAGTCAGTAGTAGCCAGAACTAGTATAGTTTCAGCATAAGTTCCTTGTGCAGCATAAAGCATCTTCCTTTTACTGTTGTAAAAATGGATCACTAAGGGTTTTTCTACAGTAAGCTGCTTCTGCTGCTGGTAATTCTGGTAGCAGGTAGCAAGCATCACAGGGAAACTGCTTCAGAATCCACATGGTTGTGCCCTGCTAGCGCAGCTGAAGAAAAGTGCACTCTGGATAGGCATGGCTGTTAAAGGGTCAAGAGTTACAATCATGTCTGTATGTGTGTTCTGTCATGTGGCACTGAAGCTGTCTTTTTGTTGGAGAACTGGGGTCACTCTGCTGGCAAAAAAGGGTACTTGTATTGCCACGGGGGAGCTAGAAGCATGGAGGTACTGTTTCAGTAGTAGATCTTGAGTTCTGCTGGCAAAACTATGAAGCATAAATCTGGCCTAAGGTCACATCTAGATGGGGAAATTAGCATGCTTTAAAGTAGGGCATCAATTATCAACATACTGACTACTTGTATGGGAGGGGCTTAGTGTCCAAACAGTGCCTTTATGAAAGATTGCTTACCCGGCTTCTGAAGTGAGCTAACTGGCACTGCGTCCATATGGTGCACTAGTGAGTAGCTAGCGTGCTGTAAATTCACAACTTCATTTTCTGCAATAACTTTACTTTTAGCCAAGATTTAAGCATGATGCAGTGGGGGCTTATGGGCCTTGGACTTGCACATAGAATGCTGGTCCAGTAGAAAATATGGCCTGTGGATATTGATAGACACAATTATTGATCTTGGATAATTTGGATTTGGAATTTAATTGGCTATTGAATTTGAATTTAGCAATATGTGTATGTATGTATGTGCTCACTGACCAAGCTGCTGCTCTGCTTCCTGCACTGCTCCCTGCCTAATTTGATGCTCTGCTTTCTGTTCCCTGCCCTATCTGCAACTGTACTTGTCACCTCCCCAATCTGCCACATGCCACACATGCAAGCTACCAGTGGCATGTGTGGCACCTATGTTGCAGGTTGATCACCCTGGGCTAGATGGTAAGGAAGGAGGGGAGGGTTGCTCCACCTTTTGCTAGTTGTTTCCATGGAAGCTTACTGACAGCAAAGGAATGGTGAGACTTGAGCTGAGAATTGTAGAATCAGAGAAAATGAGGCTTGGAAAGACCTTAGGAGGTCATCTAGTCTAATCCCCTGCTCAAAGCAGGACCATCCCCAACTAGATCATCTCAGCCAAGGCTTTGTCTACCTGGGTCTTAACCTCTGTGGATGGAGATTTCACAGCCTCTCTGGGTAACCTGTTGTAATGCCTTACTATCCTCTTCATGAGAGTTTTTCCTTGCGTCTAACCTAAACTTCCCTTGCTGCAACTTGAGACTATTACTCCTTGTTCTCTCATCTCCCACCACTGAGAAGAGTTTAGCTCCATCCTCTTCTGAACAACCCTTCAGGTAGTTGAAGGCTGCCATCAAATCCCTTCTCAGTCTTCTGGAGACTAAATAAGCCTGGTTCCCTCAGCCTCTCCTCATAAGTCATGTGCCCCATACCTCTAACCTTTGCCATTATCCTTTGCTTCACTGTCCAATTTATCCACATCCTTTATGTAGTGGGAGGCCCCGAAACTGGACACAGTACACTAGACGTGGCCTCACCAGTGCCAAATAGGGGAAGAATCACTTCCTTCGATCTGCTGGTGATGCTTCTATTAATGCAGCCCAGTGTGCTATTAGTCTTTGCAACAAGGGTGCACTCAGATTCATAGATTGTAAGCCGGGAAGGGACCTTGGAAGATCATCGGGCTCAGGTCCCTGCACCAAGCAGAAAAGATATCTGGGGTCAGGTGACCCCAGCAAGGAGACTATCTTGTCTCTTCTTGAAGATCTCCAGGGTAGGTGATTGTACCACCTATGGAGGGAGCTTATTCCACAGTCTGGACACCCTGACTGAAGAAGTTTTTCCTAATGTTGAGTTTGAATCAGTCTTCCAGGACTTTGTGGCCATTACTCCTGGTTTTCACCTCGGGTGCCCTGGTGAACAACTGCTCATTGAGCCCTTGATGTACTCCCCTAATGTAGCGGTAAGCTGCTCCCAGGTCCCCTCTCAGCCTTCTTTTCTTCAGGCTAAAGATTCTCAGATCCCTCAGCCTTTCCGCGTATGGCTTGCCTTTTAAGACTGATCATACAGGTGGCTCTTCTTTGGACTCTTTCAAGCTTGTCCATGGGCTTGTTCAAGTGTGGTGCCCAGAACTGGATGCAGTACTCCAGCTACGGTCTCACCAGTGCTGAGCAGAGTGGAAGAATCACCTTGGTTTTGCTGGAGATGCATTGATTGATGCATGCTAGGGTATTATTTGCTGTACTGGCTACAGCATCACACTGCCCACTCATATTCATACTGTGGCCTATTATTACCCTCAGGTCCCACTGTTGGGTCATGTTCAGTTTATTGACCACTATAACCCTCTGCTCCTTTTCTGCAGAGCTGCTGCTTAGCCAGGCAGTCTCCATCCTGTACCAATGAATGGGAATGTTACTTCCTAGTGCAGGACTTTTCACTCATCCTTACTGAACCTCACTAGATTTCTTTTGATCCAATCCTTCAATTTGTCTAGCTCTCTTTGAATCCTAGCCCTACCCCTCAATGTATCTACTATTCTGCCCAGCTTGGTGTCATCTGCAAACTTGCTGAGGGTGCACTCCATCCCATCTTCCAGGTCATTGATGAAGATATTGAACAAAACCAGACCCAGCACCAACCTACGGGGCACTCTACTTGATACCAGCTACCAACTAGACATTGAGCCATTGATTGCTACTTTTTGAGCCTGACAATCCAGCCAGTTTTCTATCAACCTTACAGTCTATTTATCCAACCCATACTTCCGTAGCTTGCTTGCAAGAATGCTGTGGGAGATGGTACCAAAAGCTTTGTTAAAGTCAAGGTATATCATGTCCTCACATTCATGTCTTCCATTCCAGGTTTGGAAGAGGAAGATGTCTTATTGGCCACAGACCATCCTGTACTTTGTGTGCATGTACATGGGGCACCCTGACATTTTCAGTTTTTATCCCCCTCTTAATCTTTCCCATCTTTTATCACAGTTTCCCTCCGCCAGGCCTTCTTATCAGAATCCTCATATTAGGTCACTCTTTGGCCACTGTCCCACTGTTTGCTACACCAGTCCCAATTTTCATACACAAACCCCTTGGCTCCCCATCTTCCCCAAGCCTGGATTTCTTGGTTCACCCCAATCTCCTCACCCCAATTTTCTGAATGCCATTATTGTTTAATAAGTGAGTGTGAATAGGTTTTCAAAACACTCTCCATATCCTTTACCATCCAGTGTACTTTTATTGTTTTAAGTCTGTTTTAAAGCATCAATTATATTGATCTCTTTATGGAATGTTTCTTGTACAGGAAGCTTCTTTTCTTGGTCTCCTTCCGATGGGTTGGGGGAAGAAAGTAAGTGGATGGAACCGAGTGGTCACAGCTTCAGTGGTTTTATTTCCAGTTCCTCCTGCACAGGGAATCACCCTGCAGAGCTGTGTGCAGCATCTACACTACAGCTCCTGGGTATGCTTATTACTACTTCTAGTAAGAAGCATAATTGCTAGTCCACTGCTTACCATAGCCCAGTATTAAGAGCTGAAATTACACTACCTGTTCTAATTCTTTCTCTTCTGATACAAAGGGGTTATTTACAGGATGAAGTCTTAGTTCAGGAGTTGTCAACCAGGGGTACTTGGGAAGGCCCTAAGAGGTATGCATGGGCAGGCGGGGATGGAGTGCCCCCACCCCGTGCTGCTGCCTCTCAGGAGCAGGGCCGGGGCAGGGCAAGGACAGCGGTGTGCCTCTGTGTGCTGCACAGGCGTCGCCTGGCCAGCCGGACAGACATGGGAGAGGGAAGGAAAGCTTGCACATGGTGGTGCAAGCCTGCAGCTGCCACCACTGTGTGCTGCCGCTCCGCATCCAGCCGCAAGCCAACGCCCAGCTCTGCATTCAGCTGCACAGCACTTCCCCCACTCCATTCCGCGTCCAGCTGCTAAGATTACACTTATTAAAAAAGGATGAAAACCCCTCTCTTAGTTTATAGTATACTTACGTTATGTATCTTATCTTTAATCTGCCCCCTAAGAAAACCTAATTTGTTTGCCTTATGTACTCCTTAAAGACTTGGGATTTTTTTCCAAGGAAATGCATGCAGGGTGGGAACATAAATTGAGTATGGTGCCATCCAATCCCAGATTGATAGGCTTTGACATGATTAAATTTGTTGTTGTATTGTGTCCTCCTGTGTCCTTTTCCCAAGCAATTCTGAGTAATAGCTATGGAGAGGAGGAGGAAGAATTTCCTTTGAAACCAGTAATTTTTCTTTCATAGCCTTGGTAAAAACCTAGTCTAAAGGGTTATTTTGTATCTAGAAAGAGAACTGTAGTAAAAGGAGATGTAATCTAGACAACGATGTACCAAGGAGGAAAATAATTTGGAGAATTTGCCTATAATCACCTTAATTTCAAACAGCACAATTTCTCCAGTGACCTTCTTATTTGCCCAGAATGTGATGCCTTTGATTCTTCTTTCTTTTTGTTGTATAACAAGTGTGACATTCCAGAAGTCCAAAGTAATCCTATTGGTATACCACCTATGCAGGTAACTGCGGTTGGATCCAGGATTTTGTAAAGGGGGTTGTGGGAGCAATGACCAGTGCTTCAGGGTTGGCTGCAACCCCATTCCCAGTCTCCTTCCTACCCCCCATCCTCAACGGGGGTGGACAGACTTTATTGCAGGAACAGCAACCAAAGCCCCTTTTTTAAAGACCCTTTATCAGGTAAGAATTTTACCTCTCCCCACTCACCCCTCTGTGCTCAGCAGTACATCACCTCCTCAACCCTTCCATTCCCCCGCTCAGCTGCCACTGTCCCTACTTATTTGGTGAGGAAGGGGAAGGCTCCA